CACCGATGAGTTTGAAGTTAATGGGGTGGAAAGAATGGAGAGGAATATTGGAAATCCTCAGCCAAATCTTCTGTTTCCTTAAAGCCCTAGAAAGGTAAGACCACGCAGAGAAGGACAAAGAAGCCCCTTTAAAATATGACGTCTCGATCTGGAGGGCTTTGCGAGTAGAAACTACCAAAGAAAATGAGAAGAGGATAAGGCCATTAGAGAGAATGCAACATCCGAGGTCCAGGTGTTTCCAATAGTGTTGGCCCAATTTCTCAATACCCCTAATGTCGTCCCTTCTGGGGACTAAAGATGCCAACAAAAGAGGACGCAAACCTTTGCTTTTAGGTGGATATGTGGGGACCCACCAGGCAAATGACGTTCTAGATGGGGTCGAGGTAGAAGGCGCAGGACCAGGTGGCTAGGGGGGCTGAGGAGACAAAGGGGGCTAGGATAGCAGGTGGGACTGAGAAGGTTGGGAAGGCTGGGTGGGGGGGGGAGGTGACGTTAATCAGATGGCCATAGTTCTGGTAGAGGGGGGGGGGGGAAGGAAGGAGGTGGAAGGCCAGCGGACGAAGCCATTCTCTTGCACCTCTGTAGCCACCATATTTAAGTCCCATTTTTCTCTTTACCCTAAAGATAGACAAGGACTTTGCATCCTCGCTTTGTGATGGTTCACTATCATGACTACGACAACTCTCAATGTCTTTTGAATCATTTGGACATACTTCATCATCAGGCCATGGGATCGATTGTAGGGCCCCAAAATTCGGACACCACTACCCCATGATGAAACACGCTTCTTGATTTATCTGATAAGCCCATAGTATCATTGATTGGCCTAGAATTAAGATTCCCCTCCAGAAATGTGGGGCAGCCATAGCTGTCAATGGAACTATCCTTAACATGCGAAGAGCCTCCATTACACCTGATTCGTCGATGTAGTCTAGTCGTAACAAACCATTTCCAAGGCAATACTTCCAATTGTCAAGGGAATCTCAAATAACTACTTGGAATGAGAGGAATGGGTTCTTGCACAGCCAATACCATGGATGATGTCAAATCTTCTGAGACAATAACTTAGGGGCCCTCCCTGCAATCTTCCTATAATATGGCTCAAATCTACAAAAGCCCAAGCTTTTTCTCCCTCTCTTATTGTGACTCCACTATCAGCATGAGGCTGAAAGTTAGGGTACAACAACTGGTCAATACTAATGTCTGTTGTTTGCACTTAGTACTTCGTCTTCCAAACCATAACCTTAGCATTTATTTCCTTTATTCCTCCATGGGACAGCCCCCAGCAGCATTATCACAGCAGGCAGAGTCTTCAGGCTGATTAAGCCTACGTTAGAAACCGGAATGATCTAGAGGGTATTTGTGGTCTAAGAATGATGCTGAAGGGATGGAGGCCTTTTATCTTTCTAACAATACAGGATGGTTGTCGTTCTCAGATTTAGTGGTTTATTGGTCACTGCTATGTCCAGTTGTCCACCACTAATTTTATTACAGATTTGACCTGTTGCTCCTTACTGAAAATACATTTCTGATGGTTGGATTTCAAAGCCCTTCGGATTGTGGTTCTTGAGCTATGCCTTTTCAAAGCCCTTAGGATTGTGGTTCTTGAGCTATGCCTTTATCTCATTCAATCTTCAAACCCCATCCCAGCTCAATCCTCACTGTTCACTCTGGCCATGGTTTGTGTGGATCTTGTGCTTCCAAATCTTGGTTATCTTGCGGTAATTGAACTTCAACCATATCTTGTCCATTGATGGAATTCTAATTCAAATTGCAGTGCAAATTTGAGGTCAAATTCAAATTCGAAATTGAATTTAGATCGAACTGATTCTCCATATGTTTAGCCTCTCTCTCTTGAATTCAGATCCTAGGGATTTGTAGTGTCTAACATGGCACCCTGTAGATAGCTCCCACCTACTCCAATTGTCATGCGTGCCCTCGATGATTGTGCACCCACATCAGCTCATCTTCTCTGATCTGCTGAGAAGTTCCTTTGTTGCAGCTCTGTTTTTGTTGTGATTTCAATGCCAATTTTTCCTTCTTTTTCTACCAGGGCAGTGACCAACCAGATTCCATCCCAGCTTAACTGCATGGATCCTCACTGTTTCTTGCTCTTCTTGAAACATATTCACATTCTGTATTGTACTCTCCTCGGCAAAGATTGACAGCCGAAACTATAAGGCATCTGAAGCTAGATCGATCTCCTTCAAGGTGTACTTGATACTGGCAACTTCAGCCAACACCCGAACCCTGTCAATCTTCTCACCTGCAATGGTTCTCCAATACATCCTACTTCCATGACCCCACACATGTAATGCTACCCCACTATGTTCAGCTCATAGTTATCAGAATCTTCCAACCTAGGTGCCAATCCCACTCCAGGATCTCGCTCCCATATAGGGATCTCCATACTTCCACGACTCCACACACGTAATGCTACCCACTATGTTCAGCTCATAGTTATCGGAATCTTCCAACCTAGGTGCCAATCCCGCTCCAAGATCTCGCTCCAACGCTCCCATATAGGGATCTCCATGATATCTCGATCTCCACTTTTTTGGATCTCAAACCCCACTTTTAAGGAATCATTCCTAGCCACCCAAAGGGGAACAAGAGGCCAAGAAGACAACTCATTTGGATCTTGGATCCAATCCTTTGCATCCTAATCTATCTCTCTCTATGTGTGTGTAATGCATTCGGATGTCGTGAGATATAAGCTTATAAACAAGGCAACTTGCTATATATTTGAATGTTCAAAAGTGTGAAATTGTCAATAAAATTTTCATCAATAAAAATTAGCTCCCTTGAATTGTTATTGGTTATCCTCATGTACCTCGTCATAGTATGTTATTTATTATATGTTGTGGGATTATTATTACATAAACTACACCTCAAGAGAATAAGTATATATTTTTATTAATTAAATAAATCTAATTAATGAATAATTACTTCTTTCTTGCCATTTCTTGAGTGCCCATTTTTAGTGTATGTTGTGGAATTATTGGATTTCTTAATTTTTAATTTTTATGATTTCAAAATTTCTTATCTATGAATCTAGAATTTCTATGGGATGCGCTCCAGGCCAAAGGACCTACCTGCATGTGTCAATTTATTGCTTCCCCCCCCCCCCAGGGCCAAAACAAACAAATTATTGGATTTCTTAATTTTTATGATTTCTAGTTTTTTCAAATTTTCTTATCTATGAATCATCTAAATTCCTATGGGACGCGCTCCCAGCCTAGGGAGCTTCCTGTGTGTGTCAATCTATTGTTTCCCACCCCCCCTGGAGCCAAAAAAAAAACAAAACAAAAAAACAAGATAAAGGGGAACTTCTGCTCTGAGCAACCATGGTTCAGCCATATTTGTTTCTTGTTGATAAAGACGGGGTGCAATTTTGATCTCGAAGGGAGAAGAGTCAGCAAAGGCTACTCCACATCTCCAGCATCAAGATCCAAATCTCCAGCATCATGAGTTTGAAGTCCTTCAAGCTTCTTCTTCTGAACTAAAGATAAAGAGGCATTCTTTTAATGTAGTTTGGTGCATAAAACTGGAGCCATCATTTTCCACTCTCTTTGCTTCCATGCCTCAACTCCTAGCAGCATTACATTACCAGGGCAAAAACAATCCAAAAAGGTGGACTCCAGCAACTCTCCATCCTCCCTTTAACGACCAGATCTTTCTCCAGATTCCTTTCTCCTTCACGAATGCTGAGTGAAACATGTAAACCACCCCACCCCCACCCCCACCCCACACCCAACCCCTAGGGGCTCTCTCTCTGATGGATTTCTCCAGCAACTCCTCAGGGCCTTCATTCACCCAGCTGTCTCACCTAGGCTTATGCAACAACAGGCTGTTGGAAATCTAATGTTGTTGGAGGCAGCCATCCCTTCTCCATCACTTCGCCCCTCATAGCATAGATTGGTAATCTCTCTAACCACAGAGTGGTTATTGCAACAGGATAAGGCACACCAAGGACTCTTGTTATGTTATTCATGCAAAAATGTCACCTGCTTCAACAGCCATTTCCACTAATGCATCGCCACCAAATTCAGCACCTGCTTCCTTACAGATTATCTCAGAAGTGAATCGGTCAAGACCCAGAATATGAATGAAAACTTCATGACTAGATCATGACCTACAGCAGAAGTTTAAGTCATAGGCTCTTGCAATTTTTTCTATATTATTTGCATCGAAGGTATTATGACATTTCCTTTTGCTGTGTCAAAACTCTTTTACCTAGATATACAACATCAACGAGTGAGTATGCAATTTTCGTTTCCTATGTCACATGGCCTGCCAATGTTTCACCCATCTAAGAACCAGCAAGGAACTGCAAGAACATTCTATATGCTTGTCTCTTTGAATATGTGAAGTTTATGATCTGAAGTTTATGAACCACAAGAAGCTTCATAATTTGCTACTTATCGGATGAAAATTTATGCATTAACGCAACATACCAACAGAGTGCCTACGTGAATATATGAAAGTAACTTTAGATGTCAGGTCATGTGTGGTAACACCACATATCAGAAAAGAAAGGATTTTATGTTGCACAAACAATGTCGAAGGATACTAAGCAATCAGTCCTACTATAGTGGTTAAAATAGAATATTGTAACGTTAACAAAGGTAGTTATTTTGATATAGTAAAAAGGGATTTTGAAGTTCAAAAATATATTTAATCAGATAAAATAGAAACTTCACCACTCTTTGTAAGGAGCCAAAAAAAATGCACAACATCAAGCAACAACTGTTTGCTTAGAAGCTATCCCTTTGGTTACATTACCAATAAAATCGTGTAGTACTTTTAAATAGAGAAAATCCTGACGAATGTGTGGTGCTCCGAGTTTCGTAACAAACACCAAAAGAATTAACAGGAAGGCAGTAGTTTCTAATAAGATCTCCTTAAAGAAAAGGCTAGGATGTTAACTGCCCATCAAATAATATTTGAAGCACTGTCGCACCAGCAAATCTCAAGCATAAACGATTGACAGAAAATACCTCAGGCTTCTTAATATACTGCTTCAAATGCCGGCCATAAAATATTGCAAATGCTCCTCTAGCAGCAGCTGCTCTTTGCATGTAAGAACTTGCAGCTTGTTCATGCCGTATTATTGTCCTCTTGCAAATTTCCAGATGGTATCTCAAACCTAACATAATAGTGGACACCAATATACAACCATCTTAACGTAGTGAGCGTATAGAACATTAATGCTTGCAGACATCAGGATTACATGTGAAGAAAAACCAAAAACAAAAAAAAGGATGCAACAACGAATGGTCCGGTAGGATCTTAATGCAAGAAACACGCACACAGCCCCAGGCACATGCATGTATCCAGAACAGCGAATCATGTACTTCCAAGCAAATAGATGAACCATTTTTTCCACAAATTACAAGCATACAAAGGCAGTGCTTCTAGTGATCATGCACATCAGATACAAAAAGCATNCAACCAAAAAAACAAAAAAAAAACTAAATAACTAATAATAATAATATATAATATATATATATATATATAATATATATACTATA